TTGTATTTTATTATATACTTTCTTCATTTTTTTAGGTGGGGAAAATAGGACATGAATACATGATTGAATTTGAATAATTAAGATTCTATTTTAGGAAAACAAAAAATGAAATGAGCAATTGGATAATTCTTAATAATTAGAATAAGTTTTGTAAGTTACTTAACTAAACTTACGCAAATCCGATTAATGGTGGGTTCGAATTTGGGGAGAACATAATCCTTGTAATCATAGGAAAAAAAAAAAATCATGAGTAGCAAGTTTTCGACTAATTATATATGAATGTTAAGGACAAAATCTCTAGAGAACAATTATACACACTTCCCTATTTTTTTATTAATCATCTTTTAATTATTCACCAAAGATACCCGAAATCCTAATCACATATGACAAGACAGTATTATGAATGTGACATATGTTTTAACTTTTAAGCAGAAAAAAATAAATCTTTTATAGTGAATGCAAGATATCAAATTTTTTATCGTAAATCAACTGATACTCAGATTTTTAATCTTTATATCAACATATGTGTGAGTATATATATATATATATTGATTTTCTGGTGAAAAATATAACTCAACTACTACAAAGTCACTATTCTTGTTGGTTATTTCTTTTTTAATTGTTCATTCTTGGTGGTTATCTTGATTTGAAAGTGCATGGGACATTCAAGTTGAAATAAAGAAATGCAATCCAGTGAAAAAAGTCCAATTCTTTTGTGAGGCTACAAAAAGGCCACATGAGATTGGTGGGTTTTTAGGTCTTCCTTCTCTTGTCATGTCATGTCAACCCCAAANTTTCGAAAACCAACATTATATACCACTGGTAAAAGTTACTTGTCCAATTTAGACACGATTTTGGAATTTTATCGTCAACTATTTTGGCGTATGGTGAATAATTTGTCATGACAAGATAATTTGCTTTAAGTTTCGTGTGAAAATTGTGAGTTAAAGATGTGAAGATTTTATTATGCTTTACATTTCAATAAAATCATTTTTCACCACTATTTTTAATCTCTCGAAAAAAAATAAAGTTAGTTTACTGTACAATTAAAAAAAACAATGAAAAACAGTATTCCGCTGAAAAATAATTAATAAGAATAAATCATTTTAAATAATTGACGGTATTGAATATAACGAAAATGGCTTAAGAAAACATAAAGAAAAACAAAATTTAAAGTTGATGAATGTAATAATTATGTTTTCCTTAAGATCAAATTGGCTCGTATAAACACTTAGGATAGCAACAAACTTCTTCCAAAATACTACTTTTATTTAATATAGAGCAGTACTGCAAATATACTAAATTTCAGCAAACACTATAATTTACTTATGTTCTTGCATGGGATTAATTTAGTATTGCAAGAATAATTATGCATAATAATTAATTATGTAATACATAGGATTAAGTAATATACTAAATTTCATTAAAGTGTTTGAAACTCTCAGATTCCAAGAAAATTCAATGATCCATGCATAAAGTTATTTATGAATGTAGGAAAATATTTTCACGTCGTTTAAGGGTAAAAAAATGCACATTTTGCGGATGCTATTTTGTTTTTGGTTAAAACAAAATATCTGTATATTGTTTGCTCGTGAGTTGTTTTTACTTTCTCACTAATTTAACTAATTTAGGAGAAAAGAGGGTGACTTTCCTACACTG